CAGTAATTTTCCATGCCAAGCTCTTTTTCAGCAGATTACTGCTTAATGTCCATTTGTTGTCTCTGATTTGAAGCAAGAGAACAGTGGTATTATCTGCAAGGTGAGACATAAATTCCACCAGCGACCACTAAAACTTACAGCAATAATCTAGTCTTCCTGAATTTACAAGCCATATCCATCTTATTCAAAATTCCCCCTAGTGCTTCCCAACGCACCTTCCACTTCAGCCCTACTTCCAAAAACCAGGAACACCTTCCACATACCTCAGGGAGTTTACAGAGGTGTGACAAGACATTGCCTAGCTCAATCATTCAGTTGAGTGGACACAAACACTACAACAATTCAATTTCAGACCATACATCAGCTTCTATCTACTTCACGTAAATCATTTTCCACTCTCTGCCCATGAAGATTAAATAAAGGTGAAGTCCTTGGGTTGCTTACAGGCTTTTGTCATCTAACTACATTTGATTACTTGGAGAAATAGAAGAGACCAAGACTTCTTCCAGTGGGTGTCTCGGATCCACAAGTAATGTAGAGTTGAAGGGCTATGTAGGAAAAGCCTACTCTCCCATGTCCACCTCCCTGGATTTTCCAATATCCAAGATGAAGTTTGCAGTCTCCCTGTGATGCAGTTAACATATCTCACTTCATAACTGGCCTTAGAAATCATAGGACAGAGCAGTTGTACCACAGCTGATTACCCAGACTCAGAAGTAACAGACTGCATCTCAAGCACAAGGAAATTGATGTCAGGGAGGCCAAAGTCTACCTTTTAGCAACAAATTGACAGGTGCTTTGAAGAGCATCTTACAAGGCCTTACAGACACAGTTCAATATTTTCATTTCAAGTCCTCAATTCCATCAAAATCAGGACGTAGAAGCAAATATCAGTGTGCTATGGAACTATCACAGCTGCCATTAAAACTATTGTTTTAGTCTTTCTCATGAGAAAGATAGGGTCTTATAAAGCAGGCATTGACAGAGGGCTCCAACTGGAGCTGTATATTTCCAACACATTGCACCGTAGTGACACAGCCCTCGCACAGCATGTTTGGAATTTCACATACACCTTTTTCAAAATTTTTAGCAGCATCTTACACTGGCTTTATGAATATTTACATACTACATTCAGAAAGCTTAGAAGTGTTCTTCCCAAAAGACATGAAACACTGCTAAGCAGTTGCTCCATCAGGTTTCAAATGCTTCAGCAAGTCACTATCTCCAGGACATTGTTAACAGCAGACTGAAACATGCTACATACTTAAAACTCCACAGAACATCATTTAAAATTGAAGAATTGTTTCCATCAGTAAGGCACACCAGACAGAGACGATTCCCACATGCTAAAATCTTTATTGTGCGAATGTTGTTCAGAGCATTTATTACCCTTCATAGACACAAATTCAAAAAAACCCAACACATTAACAGTGGCTAGATTGATGGACAACATATTAAATCTATTAGGTGGTAATTTGTATGCATGCAGTTAATTCTTGTGGTTTAAAAATCTTAGCCAGGAGGCCAGCCCAACTGACGACCACCCAGAACATGGAGATGTACATGATAGACAGACTGCCCACCCTCAGGCCCTTCATTCACAACCATCCGGAATCCATTGGTCAGGCCCAGGTTAGCAGCACACTTCTTCCCAACAATCATTAAATGCCCAAGAAGCTGGAGGAAAAAAAAAACAACAACAAAACAGAAAACAAAAAACAAACAGAAAACACACAAAAAGGGGAGAGGGCAGGAAGGGAACGAATGAGAGCAGAGAATCATTCAGATAAGTCAGTAAGCTAATTCTTAGAAATTCAGCCACTGCTCTTCAAATCGTCGTCTGCCTGCAGCTGACACTTTCCAAGAAAAACTATAAAGACTGACTATGTATAATATAGGGGGAAAAAAAGCACTGTAAATTTTTCTCAAGCTAGATAGTAACAGACTATAAAAGTGTCACAGAAGCTAAATTTATCTTATGGTTAAAACCCCTGTTACTTCTTCAGGAAACATATATAATTCTGGCAGAAAAGAGACTTTATCTTATCATGTAAAGGTTTACAAAAATCTTTGAACTTGACGTTTATAGTTATAAATTAAATATTCTGCATCTCTCAGCTAACTTTTCCTTTCTTCATCTCTGACCTGCCAAAAACCCTAAGCCCATATTAGAATAAGTACTGCTGCCTGTAAACCATGAAAACAAACATCAAGACTGTACTCCACGATAACAATGCATTTTGCACTGCAAATACATACCCAGAGATACATTTTCCTTTGTATCACTACTTTTACTGGAAAATCTTAACCCTACTCCCACTCTAAGCTAGAAGAAAAGGATCATAGTATCAGAAAACTACTTCACCTCTTTGAAATGTCAAGAGGAAAAGGGGGAGAGTCTAGTAAATTAGGAGGTAATTAGAGGTACAGTTTGGTGTACAGAAAGCTTCTAGAGTACTTACAGATTCATCAGAGTCTTCAGCTTCAGATAACCTGACAATTGGCTTCTTAGGAATCACTAGGAAATGTGTTGGAGCTTGGGGTGAAATATCATGGAACGCAAGGCACTGGAGGAAGAGCAAACAGTTAAATCATAATTTGCTTCAAAGAAAGGCAAGAGTTCAAGTAAATCAATATGCCCCACTAAATACATACTTAAGCAGATAAGATACCCCAAACATAAGCAGAGATGTTGATTTTTCTTGAGTGATACATTATTCAAAGTCCTGTATTGCTAAACACAAAATGACTACTTACCAAGACCTGCTGGTACGAAAAAAACCCTCATTATTCTGTGTTAAGCATTATTGAAAACCTATAGTCCTCTCAGCAAGTCAATATGCAATTAGATTCATGATTTATTATTTCCACTTATGGATAACAACTTAACAGAGCTGATGGCATGTGTGCCTATAAAAAGTACATTTATGTTTATTTCACTTTTTATTACCCTGTTTAATAAAACAAATGGTAAACAGTTGCTAACCATCTTCCAGTTATGTCTGAATATTGCCTTGGTCAAAGATAGCAAGGCAATTTCAAAGAACCTGAAGTTACATGATTGAGGCCATATTCCTTTTCTGTTCTCAAGAGGACCAAGTATTTCCGAAAAAAATAATTTCAAATTAAGGTATGAAGGTTGGCTGTACTTCAGACATTCTCAAATTGAGGGAAAGGCATCACTTTTGAAATATGAACAACTATCTGTAGTAAGTAGTTGACACCCAACTAATTTTATGCAAGTACCAAAATTACTATCAGAAATTGCATGCAGCACCTAATTACATCAAATAAATCTCAAATTAGGAACTTCCAGTAAGTAAGAGAAATAGAAGAGAAAGTAAAGAAAGAGAAAAGGAAGCTAAGCCTCTTTGTGCAAATGGCCAGCCGCAGAACCAGGTACTGCAACCACCACAATCTGCAGATGCCCACACTGAGCATGCACTCTGCCATTGCTAACAAAAGGGTATCTCTGACTTATCTATCACATTTAGCAGCAAAACATCTGGTAGTTACTGGTTGAGTTATGCCACAAAGAGTACATACTTATAAACATATACCTTACATTCTTCAAAATATATATTTCCTAGATGCTTTTAGTTGTTTGTGAATCAATGTAATTAATTTTCTATGTGACTATGCTGCTTTTTAATTCTACTGAGAGGAACTGTGGCCTTTGCCAAGAGTAAAGGCGGTGAAAAGCCCGAAATTTACTTACATTAACAATGCTTTCTCTTCTATATCTCCAATCTGTCCTATTTTAAGCTATCTTTAAAAAGATAACGCCTAGTTTTAAATCTCTGATGAACTGCTTGTTTCTCCCAAAGAAAGATGGGTGGCAAGCAAAGAATGGATTGATAAAACTAATTTCCACGTATTTAAATAAATCCTACTTTGAGACGATCATTTTGTAAGTAGTTTTTCTATGCTATGTAGTCCACATAGAGGCAGAATGCAAATGGTCAAACTGAGTCAAAGAATTTAATGAGCAAAGACTAGTGGCAAATAATTTTCTACTGGACAAAGAGCAGAAGTAGTATTGAACAAAAGCACAATCACAGAAAATCCATGAGTGCTCAGTATACCAATCTTCATTTCAGCAAGTTTAGATTCAAATGAAACAACAGTGATAAGGCTTAATTCCACAGAGACTTTGTACTTTTCAATATCTCCTTTTCTCTGCATGTCAATTAATGATTAAAAGCCTTCCTTACATTTCTTCTTGTAACATTTCCAGCCACCTCTAAAACGACCTTCAAAGAATCAACAAAATTAATTAAATAGCCAATATAGCAAACTAAACTCTAAAAGCAGTTCTACATTTCTGCAGAGTTTAAGGTAAAAATCAACTGAGATACTGCAAGTAATTACTCTTCCAGAAAATATTCTGTACTAATGGCAGTCAGAGTAGGTTATACGCTCTCAAGTCACTCATCAAAGTCAATGGCCTGATTCTCAACCAAGCACAGTGCTCAGGTTACACTACTGTAGCCATTACAGCTGACAGAAAAACCTCATGCAGTTTTTACGCAGGTAAAGAAAGGATGCACACCCCTACATAAACACAAAGCAGTAACACAAGTATGATTTTTGGAAAGCAGTGAAAATTTCCAATATTCTTAAGAGTAGATGGTAGCTACAACATTTCTGTATCTATTAAGAAAGAAAACATTGTTCCAAGCGATGCATAATTTTTAAGCACACAAATCAGACAAACAGCATCTTCAATGAGTCTGTATTCCACAGTGCAGATAATTCCTTATTTCAAAAGCAAAAGCCTCTGTTAATGTTCAGTATTTCAATTAAAAAAAAAAAAGGCTTATACTGGATATTAGTTTAGTTTATGTTTTAAAGATAAGAGATGCATTTTTTCATAAGCTAACCATTTCATTTAGCTCTACGCATGCTGTGGTGCACCAGCATCACTGAATGTTACCAGTCCCACCTCACCACAGAAACCGATTTTTGCAGCCTACAGGACGACCAGTTCCTCATTTTCGTGAAGAGCAGAAAAAGCTGTAATTCCCTATAATTCTAATCTCTCTCAGAGGTTTATAACAAAAGCCTGGCAGGCACAGCTGTATAATCTCCACAACGCTACTGAGAGGCACATAAGACTTGCATTTCTGACGTGCAAAAGCAACTAGTTACGGTGCACCCCTTGGACACACACGCCCGGAATTCACACGCAGATTGCCCGCGCGTGG